TACTGTTGCAATCATGCGGGAGTTGTCCGAGGGATGAGTCCGCCCGCGGCGGCTTTCTCTACCAATGTTGGGCCCGGTCACGTAAAAATCAACCATCGGTCGGAGAAATCTCGAGTGAGCTCATTCCACACACGCCTCCGCTGAAGTTACTGTGACCCCCCCCCCCGGCCGATCTACGATTAGATCGACTCTGAAAGCAGACGCTAGGGTAACCGATGTTGATTAATAGCTTTCGTATGCGCTACATTTTCACCTTTATCCAGTAAATTCAATGTGAGCGGTTTCCTACTCCTAAACAAGGGTGATACTAGAAACGATCATGATTGAATCCAGAATGAACGATCCGGATTGAACTACATGGCTGATCTGACCATGAGAGGTGATCTGTCGGTGGAGGGTGGGAGGAGGGGTGGCGGTGCATGCAGGCATATCTTACAACAGCTCATGCATCCACTCTGCTGAGAATTGGCATAAGCTCTGCCTACTTTACTAATGATAACAGTGTGTTATAGTAGAGAATGGTAGTACAACGACGTCACCTGAAGCTTTTGCAGGAGCAATCTCCCGGTCGACAATAAAGGAGTTTCAAAGAAGAGAAGTTTCTGAAAGAACAAAAGCGTGCGAGAAGTGATGGATTCTGGAAAGGTGACCGACTGAGGGAGAGTGCGCTTCATAAACTTATAGCAGGGCTTCACGAAGACGAAGCAAAAGAGAAAAGAACAAGTAAAGGAAAGGAGAGGCAATCTATCAAGGGGCAATCTCATAGGAGGTTGCTGCCTTTGATGGATGCGCCATGCCTTCAACATGTGACTGGAAAGGGCTACATAGAGTCACCTAAGAGCGTACAAAAAGCTCTGGCCTTCCAGCTCTGCAAAGCACTTACATTTGCCTTCAGCACCCTCCCAGATGAGCGCCATTAAATATTGACTAGATAGGAACGACGTGAAGTCAAGCATAAAGCTACGCTTATATTCACTGCACTTTTGTTCTATGGGAAAAGTACGACATGTTTTCTCGGTTTATAACGATTCATTCATAGCGGAATATTCCAGAAAAATTGAATTGGTAGAAACAGTAATTGCTGATGAGAAGTGATACTTTCATCTTCAGCTTCAGAAGACTACGAAAAGGACAATATCAAAAGGAAAACGCACTGAGTCAGGCGCTTAGACGGAATGAGAGACAAATAGTGAACGGAGGAATAGTAGGAAATTTCATGGGTGGCACAGACCTTCAGTGAACGCATCGAAAGTGAAGGCAACGAGGGAAAGTGGAAATTTTATACTTCGGCGGATTTCCATCAGCGAGAGATAAAATAGTCAAGCTCACGTTAAAGTTTTATTGGCGTAGTTCGGCTT